CACTCAGCTACTCTATACTGATGGCGTCGCGGCCTCTTCAGCAATTTGTGTAGACGGACTCTGTAATGGAAATAAATGATACTGTTAGGTAAACTGATGTTCTAAGGGGAGGCATTATTATTAATGTATTGTAGGATATCACCTAAAAGACTTCTATAGGGATAATTTCAATAAGAAGTATATTAATACGCTAAAAATTCTTATGTCTCATTGAGTGAAACTTTATCTGTACTTTGTTACTACTTCTTGTGAGTAATAGAGGTAAAGATGGTATTTGACCGTTATTCGGTGGTTAAGCAAATTTTTTTTGCCTCAGTCACTAGTCAGAGATAGTCCGTACACGGAGTTTCACCAGCTGGATCAAAAAGAGGAGTGTTCGGTTAACATGATTCAAAGGTTTTCATATCAGTACTGCACTTCCGTCAGGGACAGTAGCGACATTTTGGGCGTCCGAAATAAAAATGCTCCCGTAATCTAGGTTACTTCCTCAGATGATTCTGGATAACAGTTTCAAAATGTAGTACCTATGTAGCATTTGTGCTATGACGATATAAACAGGGTGAAAAAAATTGCAAAAATAGGAAATTAGGAAGGGTTAAACAAACAAACTAGCAAAGAAGTGTTAACATTGTTAGACATTACGCTTTCAGAAGTTCCATATTAAGAACTAACTTTACAGGTTTAGTATGAAAATCAAAGAACGAGAAGGATGACGTACTAAAAGTAAAGAATCAAACGAGTACCAAAAAAAAAAGAGTGAGTGGCGATATTATCACTTTTAGAGAAAAAGGAAGTACGAAAGTTAGGATTGCATCTGGTTAGATGGTCGTTCAACCTAAATCCATTATGGAATAACCCTACCCCTTATATTCAGAAACATTTATTGATTGACATCTAGCCTATATTAGTGCCATGAAATGATCACAATTGTTGTACGGTGCCTTTTCGTTCACTCAATTCCTTGGTGATCTACTGTCACATTATATTGCTCTTAAGCGAGTTCTCAAAATAATCGATTGCATTGATTATCACATATACTCATGTGACAGGCACACATATGCATTTGACTATCAAACACTCCGAACGAGCATCCCAGTCACTGTTCACCGCACACTGAGTCTAAAAAGTTCGTCATCGTTTTATCCATATAGGGGTAGATCCTCGAGCATCTGAATGAACGAAAAGGGACTGTGCAAACGATGAGGCTGGTGGGCCAAAGCAGGAACGAAGTCTTTTCACCTCTTCACAAATTTTTTGTAAGTATACTATTTCCTGAAAATGCCTTTTCAGTGCTTCATAGTAGCGAAATTGAAAATTAAGTTCCACACTAGGCGAATTTTGACATGTTTTTTGCTGGAAAAAGATTTTCTTTTGGACTTTTGGTGACCATTCGCAAGCTTGTATCTCACGCGATCAGCCTCTGCTCGTTTGACAAAATTGCTTTTAGTAGAAGCGAAAATAAAACTGAGTTTTACACTCGGCGAGCAGTTTTTTCTTTGCAGGAGAATGTGATGACACTGTGAATGGGTTTTCGTAACATTCTTAACAAATGTTGGGGTGGTGCCAAGGCTCATGGATGGTCTTATAAAAGATCTGATAGTTGCATAGTAACGTGAATTCAGTTGATTTGAAACAAAGCTTAGTTATTGAAAAGGTATTCATAGAACACTAGGAAAAGACAAAAAAGATGGCGTTTTGGAGTTCATTATTTTTTTCCCTCTAAAAGTCACATTGATGGCCTTTTCACAACTGAGTGCAGTATCAAGTTACCAAGATTTCGCTATTGAATCTTTTCTAAAATTCCACTAGAAGATGAAAAGACTGTACCCTTAAATGGTACAAAAAATGGATCGGAGTATCCGAATTGTACAGACTGCCGCATAAATGAGATGGTTGCCTGTCTTTGCTTATATATTCACAAAGTTGTAAAGTTACTGTTAATCGCACCAATGAGAAAATTCCAGAAATGCGTAATGAAACTGGTTTCCACAACTTTTTTCTCGAAACTTCTCGAATTATTTCAAATTTTATAGTAGATGTGTTTCGTTTTCATTTGCGTCACCTTGACACGTTTCAGGCTAGAGCTTGAGGGCATCAATCATTGTGGCTAGTCCCTGCGCTTTCTCCACATTGGCCGGGAATCGAACCCGTGTTTCCCGCGTAGCAGTTGAGCATTCTACCACTGAACGATGAACAATGATGTCTAGGCAATCGGCTCGGATTATCTCTCTGTGAAGAAAACAAATGGTGTCGCAACGTTGCCTGTGTCGATCTACTTTTATCAAGCTCGTGTTACTACGTTTTATATCTCCAATAAAGAATGCGAACTGCTACAGTTCTGAGAGATTTCTTTGTTCAGATTGTTCACGTTGAAACATGAGCGGTGGTTTTATATTCAGTAAGCATACCACTACATTTGTGAAGTTTGTTTCAAAGATCAATGTTTGGGATAGTCTCCCTGTATTCTGTATCCATTTCTCTACATCAATGTGTGTTTATAAGTCTGACGCGACACGAGTGATTACTGAATACCAAAAAGCTACTGGCAGGAGATTAAAAACATATCTGAAACGAATTAAGTATTCAAAACAGAAAAAGTCAAGCATTTTCAAGAAGCATCTGTGACGGACGTAGTTGGAGGAAGACTTGCTGCATTGCTACGTGAA